GAGCATGTTTAACTGAATCTGTCTATGTTAGCTTAAGAAGTCACGTGGTCTACCTAAGCAAACCCGAGATTTTCGACCCCTGTGCTACCGCATTTTCCTTCACATCTTTCGTAGCAATGTAATCAGTGAACGTGTCCTGGGTTGGATAATCAGCTTCTTTCAACAACAACTGGATACGCGATTTTCTAGCCCGCTTCATTATTTAATGGCACTCCTGTTTTGTGTCCCTCAAGGTTGGGAACTAGAACAAAGCTTATTCTTGGTTCGCAAAAGCGATACCGCGAGTGTACCGTTATCAGTTCTCTATATCTGTAGACGACCTCAATATCTGTCTCGATGCCCAGATGGTGAATTGTCACCAGAAACTGAAGAACAATTTCAGACAAGCTTAACCTCGGTTGCCTTAGAACATGCTCCATTTTATCGCGATAAACTGTAACGTTTTGAGCATAAGCTATCGGCGTACTCACTAATATCATCTTGTGGAGCAACCATTGCAACGTACATCCTTGGAAATTAACTTGAAAATAGGAGTAATTTGGCTGTTTGAAACCAAGCGAAAAGATACGGATCGGATCCCTTTTGTGCTTTATTATCCTGTGGGTGGCTTTCATGACGTTTGAGCCTCTTGGTATTCTCATAATTGAGGCAACAAGTGGAACATGCCATACACTACGAGCGTATCTGGCTGTGGCACTATGTGGGTGTGCCTGAAGACCCATGAAGTTTGTAGATTGGTATTTATTTCTCACAAAAATATGAGTAATTCCGTCTGATTATACTGTCGTTAGTACTTGCATCAGTGAGGGTATTACATCGTGGCATGTCTAATACTTTCGAAACCTCGACACGCTTGTAGCGAGTTGTCGCAATTCAGCAACGATTTGGATTCTGAGATCGTGACTGCAAAGGGTCAAGAAATTCGGTTGACTTGATTGCCGACAAAACGCTTTCTTCGTCCAAGTATCTTACACATGTGATGCGTATTCTTCTCATGAAACTTCATCTATAGCATGGAGTTTTTCATTCTACGGCTTGCCTGTACACCGTCCCATTTGCACTTTGTACAAAGTTTTAGTTAATCGAAAGACAAAGCGTTACAAACAAAATGGCGTATTCAGTACTCTTCCGTTTACCAGTAGTAGCTAAAGCTGCGTCCATATTCACGCGAAGCGCCTGCTGAGTCTACAAAAATCGTAATAGTTTTTCTATCAATATCACCTTTGGTTCGCAATACGCTGCGCTGTCATCGTATGAGTTGTCTCAAGTAATCTTGTTGTTCTTCATAATCCAATGCTACCACGTAGCTTGCGCTGATGTGTTTCAATCGTAATGACTGCACTTCAGACAGGTAACCTGCTAAATCAATTTCCAGTGACCTGCTTCCTATAAGATCATGACTTTTGTGCTAAACATGCTAGCAATTTCTTGTTCCTCGAATTAATGGAATGGAATTAATGGAATAGAATTAATGTTTCTGCTGATTGCGCTACTGATTAAGGTGGCTTAAAAATGACAGTTTCGTAAAAAGAATGACCATATGCTTCCAAACCACATTATCCGTTAATACGACATATTCGCAATGGCTCATCAACAGCGCCTGCTGCGATTGTCAACTGCGAAGAAGAAATTACTTGAGTTTACATAGTTTTATTCCGTATGTTGGATGCAACGGCTTGAGGTGGTTCAGTTCCAGGCTGACTACAAAAACCCACAAGGATATATCGCCGCCAAACAAAAGTAGGTACTCATCAGATTGTATCCATAGTTCCAAAATAAGCGCACAATTCATCGGTGTGTTATCATTCCAACTTAGACTAAATCGTTTTTTGAAGTACTCGTGAGTAGTGGCATTTGCTATGGTTAACATAGGTTCATCATACGCAGAGTCCAAATCAGATAGTCATTCAGATGCCCGGAAAAGTGTTAGACTGCAGTTTCAGCCTGGTGGGCATAATCAGCAGTGCGCTTTCATCAGATCCATCAGGAGAAGAACGCATGATCACCAGCGGATTGAACCACCAGTCAGCAGCTTATGCCACTATGCCACGGGGGACAGCTTCGGACCGTCATGCTTTACAAGCCAACTGCGATATAACGCGTGTTATCCTCCACTGCCATGCAAGTTACGAAATTTGAAGACGACAGGCTGGGCTCCGAAAGACAGGACGTTCACTAACGGTAGCTAGGTACATAGCGTTGAGAACCTATTAGCGCGGGTATATTTTGATGTACTGATTGGTGAGAAATAAATACCAATCTACAAACTTCATGGGTCTTCAGGCACACCCACATAGTGACACAGCCAGATATGCTCGTAGTGTATGGCATGTTCCACTTGTTGCCTCAATTATGAGAATACCAAGAGGCTCAAACGTCATGAAAGCCACCCACAGGATAATAAAGCACAAAAGGGATCCGATCCGTATCTTTTCGCTTGGTTTCAAACAGCCAAATTACTCCTATTTTCAAGTTAATTTCCAAGGATGTACGTTGCAATGGTTGCTCCACAAGATGATATTAGTGAGTACGCCGATGGCATTTACCCAAAACGTTACAGTTTATCGCGATAAAATGGAGCATGTTCTAGGGCAAGCGAGGTTAGGCTTGTCTGAAATTGTTCTTCAGTTCCTGGTGACAATCCACCATCTGGGCATCGAGACGGATATTGAGGTCATCGATAGACATAGAGAACTGATAACGGTACACTCGCGATATCGCTTTTGCGAACCAAGGATAAGCGTTGTCCTAGTTCCAACCTTGAGGGACACAAAACTGGAGTGCCATTAGATAATGAAGCGGGCTAGAAAATCGCATATCCAGTTGTTATTGAGAGAAGCTGATTACCCAACCCAGGACATGGTCACTGATTACATTGCTACGAAAGATGTGAAGGAAAATGCGGTCGCACAGGGGGTCGAAAATCTCGGGTTTGCTTAGGTAGACCACGTGGCTTCTTAATCTAACATACACAGATTCAGTTAAACATGCTCGAGTTAACAGCAGCTCTGTATTACAGGATTGATTTGAGCGACATCTGTGCTGCTTTGACGCAAAACGCCTTACTTCAAATTAGCCAGAGAGCTGTCAGCGGTGGCTCGGTGGCATATGCTGCTGACTGGCGTTTCAAGCAACTGGTGATCATTGGTTCAATACCTGATGTATCTGATGTATGCGCAATGCTGATTATGCCCACCAGGTTGAAACTCTAGTCTAACGCTTTTCCGGGTATATGACCTACTCTCTGCTTTGGAAACTGGCTATGATGGAGCTCAGGTAATTGTATCAAAAGCCCCTACTTATGAGTACATCAAGATTTATCTGCCCTAATATTTTCTAAATTCTGTGTTGTAGGTAGGTACTCTTAGTGGCTGTCGTGTCTTTCGGGACCATTCCTATCCTCTGCAAAGTTCGTAACTAGCAAGGCAGTGAAGGATAAGACGTGTTACATAACGGTTGGTTTGTTGATCATGACGGTCCGAAGCTGTCCCCCGTGGTCTAGTGGCAAAAGCTGCTGACTGGCGGTGCAAATCGCTGGTGGTCATGGGTACGAATCCTGATGGATTCGGTGAATGCGCACTACTGCTGATTCTCAATGGACTTAAATTGCATTCTAGTGCTTTTCTGGGTATTTGGACGACTATCCGCTTTGGAAGCTGGCTATGATGAACCTCAATCAGCTAAATCGTATTTGCTGTAGGTCATTAGGTGTTCTTAGCCTGAATAACCTTGCTGAAATCTGACTGGATACGAACCCGAATTTTCACGTGATTCGCAAGTTGGCCATGTGGGACGTAGGATTCATCGTGACTGTGCAAGATGATAAGGCAGGGTCGCTCTTTTCTATCGTATACACTGAGGCTTTGCTGAGGACGAACTCCAATATCTAGGCTCTAAATTTGGCAAGATTATCTGATCATCGTGTGATATCTTAAGCCAACTCCACTGATGAGACTCACTAGAAAATGAGTAGTTAATGCCGAAATATATAGTCGGTCAGTGTGTAGGCCATTGAATAAACATCTATTCGTCAGCAGACATTAGACTATGCAGTATATCACCTCGACATGGTTAGTATTATACGTATGCACTAAAAATTTATATTCATGTTTACTTGGCCCTAACTGATGTGCAGTTATTACGCTAAGCTAAAAGGATTCAGTTATCTATGTGTGTAGATGACTGCGTCTAGTTAACCATAGATGACTGCAGAATAACCTACCTCTCTTCGGTCTACGTGCAACAAAGGTGCTTTCTGGTGTTTCTCGCGGATCTCAATAGCCCAGCATTCAAGACGTTAGTCATTTACCATTAGGCCGCTATTTCCAGTCGCGGCTCAGGCTATCTTCTGCAGAGAAGTCCGAACGAGGAGAAAGCCGTCTTAGTGTGCCAATGTTGAAAGGGATCTAAACAAAGCATCTCCACAGCAATCTGCAATGCTTTACGCCATTGATTGGTAGGTTTGTTCTGTATTACATATATCAGCCATTAGATGCTTTTACGTGCAGCAGCATTTTATACTTTTTATATACTATTCTTCCAAATATTGACGAATATGTATTATTTTATTCACTTTGGGAAGAGTGTCTAGGGTCGCAATTACCGAGCATATTTCAAGCTAGAGGGGCGCATGCAAACGCCGGAATTTTCTATTTGCTGTGAGACACATCCGTGGATACTACCCTCACGCAGGTCATGTTGGCATGGCCATGTGACTTGGCAGCGGTAGGCCTCACAAGGGAAGGCTGAAGTGTTTTGAGTAGTGATTCCTTTAAATTATCCCGATTTTTCCTAATCCACGTCAGATATATTATGATACTAAACATTTTTAATACTTAAGTATAGCTTAGCATACGCAACGATAAGTTTCTGAACTTGGCTTTTAGGATTCAATGATTTCCGAGCTATTCGTTAACATACTATAGGATCACTGTAAATTCCTGCGGTATCATTGCTAACAAATCCCCACATATTCTTACATAAGCCTAATTTTATTGTAGAGCAATTGACTACCGAGCATTTTTACTTTTTGTCAACGATTTCCTTGGACCCACTTATGGCCGAATGAACGGATTGGAGAAAGACGAGGCAGTGGCAGAAATCCGGGAAAAGTTATCCAACGCAAGGCCACAGCTAAAAAACACAACTGTGAGTTGCTACACAAGGGAATTTTGCGTCAGCGACTGATGCTGTACTCTTGTTTGATTTCCGTTTATGCATTTTCGATCGATTTCCAGTGTTTGGCATTTTCTACTCCCTAGTTTTACTCGTGCCACCATCATGGTGTCCTAGATTGCCCGTAAAACAATGTATCTCCCGTACCACTGGGGGAATGTTGTAAACCCTATGAACGATAAATGAGATAAAATGCAGCTGTTCTTGTAGTTTAGACCAGCTGTGTTTTCCAATAAGCAGTCAGTTTTGGCGGTTATTGTTTAGTTGGGTGTTCTCGGCCGGGTTTTTCCGAGAATCAGTATAGGAAAAGGTAGGTTTAACAGTGGTTAGAGTTAAATGCTAAACTGCTAGTTGGCAGCATTGTAATTAGAATTCGCCTTTGTTTGTCCTACTGTATTCAATCCGAGGTCTTGGAGACTGCGAAATATTCTTTTTATTAACACGCCATCGAACTACATCGGAAAATATCATCTCAACTGCCTGGAGGTATATCCTTATTTTGGGAGACTTGTGCATCAACCTGTTCATCACCGCAAGTTCTCATTCTGGGTGATGATTTGATTTAATGTGATATTCTGCCAGTTTGGTCAATAAGATACGACCTAGGTTCTGTCATAAGGTAGCAAGAATGAAGCGGCACGAGAGCACAACCTTGATTGCACGAGACCACGGTTTACACAATCTGCGCGCACGCGTGCATTCAGCGACCATGTTTCCGTTCCACAACACGACATACATAAGGAATCACATGTCACATTCGTCCATTGTCAGCCGGAATATTTCATTGACCTGACTACCTGTCTGACCCTGTAGCTTTGCTTTCGTTGCACACATTCTGATCAGCCTGGAGTTGTTAAAATGCTCTTGATTTGCTTGATCTCGGTTATCTTTTTCTGCTTCAGGTTGCTCCAGGGTGCACCAAAATAGATGTTCCTGTCTGATTTATTGGTCTGTCGACATATCCGTTTACAATAATCCTTCGTTGTTAGCGTTTCGCTCTCTGCTTGTGCTGTTGGGCTGGGATTGCGCTGTGCGATCTCGTTTACGATGTCTATGCTCATTTCTGTCCTCCCCCGTTCTAGTGGCTTTTCAGTCTCCTGCGTGATCGCTGCCTTCCGCGCCACCACAATAAGAAGCTACATAGTGGTAAACTGCTCTGCTGCGATGTGGTAATATCGAAGTTATCATCTTCTAACAGCAGTCATGATAAGCGAATAATTGGGGCGGTCATTTTGAAGAGCCGCGTGTGTGTTTGGATCGTGACGCGCAATCTCAATGTGGATCGCGAGTCGACCTACGGTAAACCTTCGTCAATTTGATTACGGGGACTGCAGCTGATGAGATGTGTTGAAATTGCAATATGCCCGCCTCAAAACAGTGCACTTTATGACCAGTTTTGAGCAGATCCACAAATCCGGTGCCTTTTGGATGTCAACCATTGCCAGAAACTGCGTACAACAATTAATGACGAATTGGAAGGGTCTTCCCATAAAGCACTTATGAATAGTTTGCAACGTGTAATCTGAATTTGGATTGTGATTGGGCAGCATAAGTGCAGGGTATCTTGCTCCGGGTTTGCGTGCTGTTATCCCTTGTTATCCCATTACATTCGAAACTGACCGTTGAGTGCTGTGTTTTTGAGCGGACAACACACTACAATATCTATCTGCTTTCCGCCAAAGGATATTACTTCATAGCATATTCTGGTCCAGATTGAGGCTATGCGGTTCTGTTTACTTATACCACTACCACTGCATGGATCAATAGTTATTTTACATTGAAATTTATCCTTTTGCACCCACTAACCTTCTTTCCCACCTTTCGGTATCAAGGGTAACACAGACGAGTAAGAATCACAAGTCACAAGAAGTCGCAACTAGTCCAGAAGTCTATCATATGTACCATTCACATTGTGGGGAATGGTCAAGTACAATCACACCCTGAGAAACGTGAGACGATCAAGAACTTTGCCGACCCTAATTCCAAACGTCAGCTCTGTTCATTCCTTGGACTAGTGGCATATGGTTCGAAATTCCTGCCAAATTTTGCAAAGCTGATCAGCCCGTTACTGAGGCTGCTGCACAAGGACAAACTGTTCGTCTGGACGTCCGAGACGGAGCAGGCTTTTAACTATCTAAACTCTTGTGTAGCAAAGGATTCAGCATTTTTATGCATACCCAATTTGAGTGAGAGGTTCGCTGTGGTGGTCGATGTAAGTAGCGTTGCAATCGGTGTAGTTCTATTCCAACCGGCCGGAGTTATATAATATGCCACTAGAGTGCTAACGAGCGCAGACCCATAGTATTCTACAACCGACATCATGTGGGCGTTGGAAAAGTGGAGAACGAACCTCTTAGCAAATGCGTTCCATGTCATCACTGACCACAAACCGCTATCATGGCTGATGACGACGAAAGACTCGAGGGGCTTCTGGCACCATGGGCCTACCGGCTTCAAGAATTTACTTTTACTATCGAGCGCACAGACGGAACAAAGTACGTATTACCAGACATGCTGTCGTGCCCGGCTTTGGACAAACTCAGGTCAGGCAATGCTATACCAACGTGCTCTCTTACAGTGGAGGATAGGAACCTACTGGAAAAGCAGGGGACGAATGAATTTGTAAAGTTAGTGTGTACTCATTTACAATCGGGAACTAAGCCGCAAGCAACATCAGGAGAGCTGAACGAACTCCTACGGATCTGGGATAGGCTTTATCTGGCAAAGAGTAATTTGGTAGTGTCAATGAAAGGGATAAAACTACCGTTTAGCTCAGAAAGCTAAGGAGCACGCGTGATTCATTTGGCTCATAATAATGCCCATATCGGTTTTGAGAGAGTTCTGGATTGCTACAGAGAGGAGTGTTTTGGCCATCCATGCGAAAGGACGTAGCTGCATATATTCAGAATTGCACAAGCTGCCAAATAAGCTGCAAGAAGGATGCACCAAGACCACCGATACAATCTACTGAAGTCGACGAACCGTTGCAGTCTTTGGGCTTGGATGTCTTTGGACATCCACCATTGAGTCGCACAGAAAACAACTACATCCTAGTGATGGTTGACCACTTATCGCGATGGGTAGCAGCCGTGTCGTTCAGAGATCAACTTGGCTAAACGGTGTCACAAATATTGGAATTCAACATGCCAACAAGGTATGGAAAACCGAAATATCTTATTACCGACCATGGACCTCGCTTTGAATCGAAGGCATTTCGGGCGAAGTTGAACAAGTTGGGGATCCAGAGACGACGCACGTCACCGTAGCACCCGCAAACCAACGGAGTGACAGAACAGTGTAATAGAAGCATGAAGGCATGGATAAACTGCACGAAACTGGAGTGGGAAGAAGCCTTGCCAGAGGTTCTAATCGATTATCGAACCAGCATGCAATCGAACACCAAGGTTTCTCTATCCGAATTACAGTTCAGTAGAGAACCAAAAATTGCACTCGACACCTGCTTAATGAATGATCGTGAATGGAAACATTAGAGAGCGCATCACGAGACATGGGAAGCCATTGCCAGAAGAGCGACGAAATGTCGATAGTTACGACGTAACCGGACTAGGATGTCAGGTAAGAAGACCGTTAAGCAAAGGAGAACAAGTCAAGGTACGAAAGCATGATCGACCAAAACACATGGGACCCGGTGCGAGCAAGCTCAAGGAACGTTGGAAAGGCCCGTACACTTTAAGTGGTCAAAATGAGCAAACATCAAATTTGACAGTGGGACGGCGAAATGTTGGATGAACTCAGTTCAATTGCGGCCACAGCATTCGAGGGAAGAGCAGCTTGCAGCAGGAGCGGATTTCTTGGTGTGACTGGCAGCCAACAAGTAGGAGACAGAAAATACCCTAGAAAGAGGGAGGACCGAAACGAGCATAGACATCATAGACGAGATCAGACAGCGCAACCCCAGCCCACCAAAACAAGCAGAATGGGGAAGGCTAACAACGAAGGATTATTGCAAACGAATATGTCGACAGACCAATAACTCAGACATGTGCACCCTGGAGTAACCGGAAGCAGAATAAGACAACCGAGATCAAGCAAATCAAAAGCATTTCAACAACTACAGGCTGGTCAGAATGCGAGACACAAAGCAAAGTAACAATCTTCGGAAGTGTTCCCAGTGTTACCATCGCAATTCAACAGAACATGAGCACTGATGAGAATCTCTCTATACAGAGATCAAAATGAATTAAGAAGAAACCGCAAAAAAATAAAGAAATCCGAGAAGATCTATAGGATACACCCCGTCTAAATTTGGAATAAGTATAGCAGTAAATCAAATATACCTTTCGTCATTTTGCACTGCTCTCCAAATATTACCACCCTTGACGCTTGAAGCTGTAAATCGTGCGTCACTTGCCACGTCGAACCTGTGTACAGGTATGAGCCAAACTCGTGGACTGTTCGTGAAGTGATATCACCTGGACCCCTTGACAACGATTCCAATGGTACGGACAGCAAACTGTCTGAAGGCAACCGGTTTCAAGCTTGGATATCAATGTCGAAAGCCACAGCACGCCTGCGCCTACAGAGGGACTGTGGGTGGCTTGTACTGCACCACGCACAGTTCCAGCCACACACTCCATATCCAGGGTAAACCCGAAGGAATAAGATCAGGAGGCATATGGAAGGGAGAGAAAATTCAACAACGGAGCCAGCCCACACTCCTTCGCAAGCAAACACAGACACGCTGTACTTGGGGAATACAGCGCACACAAGGCGGTGGCTGGACCGTGCTCCGCTCCACACTGAGTGCAAGGAACCGCTCTTTGAGCCTAGCATGGCCACAAGGACTGTGCACTCCGTCCCCTCCAGCAACGACCAACTGACACGTGGAGCCTGTATGGACGAGGTAGTGGGTAATAGACAAGTAGGCACCTTGTCAAAATGCACATCAAGCGCAGCCACACCGGGGATATCAAATAACAGCCAATGAGTTGAAACAACATTAGCAAATAAAA